AAACAATAAGTCAAGCCTTGGTTTATAGCATTTACCTACTTCTAAGGTGTAAATATTCACACTGAAAATTTAACAACTGGCTTCAGCACACTCCTGTCTATATGTATCTCTCCACTTATAAACTCTAGGAGTATCCAGTCTCCACAGTGACTCTGTGTTTATTTCTGGGAGAGTAGGCTACAGGTTTATGGGGAGGGTGGGGGGAGAGAAAAGTTGTTGCTTATTTTCTTACTATACTATTTCAGTAAATGCTAATTATGTCCTCTAGCTCAGGGCTTCTTAAACTTTTTCCACTCATGACCCCTTTTTGGCAGTTCCAAGGAACTTGCATGGCCTGAGGGCATGTGCAGAGCAAAGTGCACATGCTTTGTGCTCAAAACCAAAGCTGCAGTGAAGTTGCAAAATGGGTAAGCATTGCCAGAAACACCTCCGATCATTACATGATTGATTTTTAATTAATTTTTGGTCATTGTGTATTCAAAAACCTTTTACTGTTGCCAAGTTTTTCACGACCCCATCTGGGCTTGTGACCCACAGTTTAAGAAGCACTACTAGTTACCTAGAGTCAAGGCAAATATACTAGTACAGTCTTGTGAGCTATCATTTTAGTAGGAAAGCTCACAGGACACCTAGAACCTGGGATAACTGTCACATGGAGGATGGACCTATGGTTACCCAAAGGGGGTCACTGCATATACAAAGTAAATACAGAGTTATTTCAAGGGAAAGTGCTAGCAGCTAGAGGTTACAGGAAATAAAGAAAAGATAGATCAATGGTCTCCAACCCAACTAGCAAATGGGGCCACTGAACAACACGTAAAAATCCCTGCAGGCCACATAATGACTTAGAAAATCACAAATTAACATTATATTTTATTGTATTTTTTTTGTTAAAATTTCCCTATTGCATTTTAATTTGGTTAGGGAGGTGCTTGAGAGGGTCCCTGGCTGTTTGACATCTCTGCTGTGGTGCAGATAATAGCTGTCGGAGGTGATACTTGAGTTGAGCCTTAGCAGAGTTTGCTGTTAAGGAGGGAGTGCATATGGGTCACATATCCAGGCAAGGAGGTGGGTAATGGAAGGTACGTGTGACAAACAGCAAGACTAGCTAGGCTGAACTGTTTGGTACATGAAGATCAGTAATAGGTAAGAAGGCTAGAAAGCAGGCTCTAGCCAGGCTGTGAAGGTCTTTACATACTTAACTAGAAGAATTTGTATTTGCTCCTTAATGTAATAAAGAGCAGCAGAGTGACAAAGTTACACTTTGTGCTTCATGAAGATTAGGTTGGCAGCTGGGTATAAAGCGGATTAAAAATGGGAGAGACTTTGAGAGACCAATTAGAAAGCTATTTCAGCAGTCAAAATGAGTGGTGATAGGGACCTGTCCTCTAAGAGCAAGGTTAGTTTTTACAGTTACTTAGTAACGACCCTAGCTTTTAGTGTGGTTCTCATTTATGTATTCATAGAGACATTTGTAGTGTCAAGATATTAGGAGATGCCTTGTTTTCCAGAGCTAATGCCCAGCAAGCAAGCTGTGCCCTGAGCTTGGCATAACAACAATCCTTTGCATTTACTGTCTTGATGATCTCATCCTCTGGCAAAATCATGTAATTATTGTATTGCTTTGACTAGTACCAGGTGTTCTCTGAGCTTGAACAAGCTCAGACAAGATGCGGTCATGAAGCCCTGTTATGAATCACACTTGTCACACTGTTGCTGTTAACCTTCATTGAAAGGGCTACAACTCACTGTGCCATCATTGGTATAAGTATTGAGATGTTCCCAGACTGCCTTGGGTCCCCCAATGAGAAGCAGGGCCCTGGCACATGTGTCTAGACACCCTCCTTGTTTGTAAGCTGTTTCCCTCACTTTGAAAGTAAATTTCTGTTTAATTTCTCACTCTCCTGTCCCTTGCCTGCTCCGTTAAGTTCTGGCTATCCACAAGTTAGGGGCCAGTTCGGTCCAGTTATTATTAATGTGGCAGAGAGAGAGAGAGAGAGAGAGAGAGAGAGAGAGAGAGAGAGAGAGAGAGAGAGAGAGAGGGAGAGGGGGGGGAGACAGAGAGAGAGATGGAAAGAGAGACACAGAGACACAGAGAGAGTCAGAGACAGAGAGACAGAGACAGAGATAGCCTCCAAGTCAGGAAGTAGCATGCTCTGTGTGGCTCTGGGGAAATTGCTAAACCTGTCAATCCTTTAGGCCAAGGGAGGAGGGCCAGCAATACACCCTGAGTGTAGCCTGAACCAGATTAAAATATAATTGGGAAATATTTAACAAAATAAAAATGTGATAGAGCCTAGATAATGTTAATATTTGATTGTCTAAGTCAATATGTGGCCTGTAGGGATCCTTATGTATGGTTTGGTGGTCCCATTTCTATTTGAGTTTGATACCATTGTTTTAGACAACTCTTGTCAAAGTTGCAGAGAAATTCATAGAAAGAGTTTCTTTACCTGGGAGTTCCCTAAACCACTGAAATCATGGGTCCAGTCTCATCCTCTCTCATTTTGGCTGCTATATAGATTGTTCTCCTGGCTTTGTTTATTTCACTACAAATCAGTTTATCCACCTTTAGTGGATTTAGTCCACGTCACCCAACTTTCACCTGTGGCTCCAAAAAGTTGCAGCATTTGCAACTGTATTTACACCTGTGAAATGGTCTTGGCAGATAGGCTAAACCAGGTTGAGAATAACCAAGAGGCCTCAAATCCATCAATAAGTTAGTGGGATGCCTACTCTATCAATCAAACCAACAAGTATTTATCAGGCTAACTACCAATTGCCTCAAAAAAAAAATTAAATCCAGGAAAGAGAGAATTAATGCACGTCATTTTCCTTAGCAGCAAAAGTTTTGAGAGGAGAGACTTTGTCTTTTATCATGTATGCACCCCCAGCCCCAGTAGTATATTGCCTTGCTCATAGGCCCTCAATAAATGCTTATTTACATTTAAAGACCCGTTTGAAGCTGGGGCTCCCTTGGACCCCATCCAAAGGGGTTTATTTCCAAGAACAGGCAAGGGACATCATTATTAGGCTCGTCACCTTCAAGGCAGTCCCATGGACAGTCGCTGAAGACACTCAATAGAAGGCACACCGTGTTTGTAGGAAGCAGCGTACCTAAGAATGTGCTGCAATGTTTTTGCTTGGAATGAAAGAATAAGAATGGATGAGTTTTGAAATAGAACATCCCTAATCCAGGGCCAGCTGTGGATAACCTTGCCAGATAAAGGAAATTGAATTCTCCTTTTTTGTATTCGCTTCATTCCTTTCTCCCCATTTAGAGCCTCGGGTGTCTAAATTCTCTCTCCCTTTCAAGTGTGATCTCCAGAAAGGATTTGATAAATTCATTTACACTGAGGTATAAATGCCTAGTAAATCCTTCTCCTCTCTCAGAAATACTTGGATGTTAAAAAGAGACAGGCATAGCTGCTAGTTAACTTAAGTCAAAGCAAAACAACTCTAATTATCATCCAGCAGCAGGCAGAAATATTTTGGGTGAAGAAAGACATTCTAAGTCCCTGAAACTTCACTCCAGCAGCTTATCTCCTATTCTTCAAGCTAGCCTTCCCTTACCATATCATCCAGTTTTGCTCTTACCTCGCCCCTTCCCATCCACCACAGCAAAGATACAGTCTCACTGTATCCCTAGAGGATGCCTTTTGGAGTCAGAAGAAGTTCTGTGAGTGAAAGCATGATGCACAGTTATGGGGATAAGAATGAAACAAGTTTAGCTTGTTTTGTGGCCAGCATTCCTCCAAGTGCCGGGCAGGGTGCCCAAGTGTGGGTGAGGAGGGGTGGGGAGCCAGGGATTCCATTCAGTCCAAAGAAAAGGGAGAGGAGAATCAAAGGCATTTTTCCCCTTAGACCTTGAAACTAGCCAGAGTCCCAACTCAGAGTTAAATACAAATTGGATGGTTCCCCATCTACTATGTCTAAAATGAAAAGGTCTTGTTAAAAGAGCTCAGGGTAGGGTTGGGAGTGGGCCAGTGAGGGTCTTTGGTTTGGCTATTAGGTTTAGGTCAGCACAAGGACGTCTTTTTGAAATCAAAACAAATTGAGGACCCCTCCACTGTAGGAAAAGTTTTGCTAGCATGCAGTGAGAAAATGCATAATGAGAAGAAAAAGAAAGCCTATGAATTCAATAGCCTTTTAAAATGAATTTGCGTTTTATTAATCACAACAGTCTCTAAATACATTTTAAAAACAGCCAAATACAATTTTTGAGGTTTTTTGTGCATAAAAACTTCCTCTGCCCATGCAGATTAGTGCCATCTTTGTAGTTTGTAATCTTAGAGAAAAGTTGCCCAGGGACAGTGAAAGTTAATTAACTTCTCCAAGGGTACCCAGATAGTGCTAAATCAGAGGTAGAATTTAAACTCAGCTCTTCCTACCTTTGAGGCAAGCTTTCTATCTACCACCACACTGCCTCTCATGATGCAAGATATTTTTATATCCCATCTCTAGAAGGAATGTTTGCATATTTCTTATGTGAGGCTTTAATGATATGGCCAGGAATGTTTTATAGCCTATACATTCCCAGACTCCTTGGTCCCTCCATGATCTTCCAGGGGCCCCCAGGTTGGGAACTGTGGTTTGGAACAGAGAATTCTCAGATATACCCTATCCCGTACCAAAGAGGACTTTTGCTCTAGCTACTTCTAATTCCAGGAAGATTCCTTGACTATGTTCAATGATCAGTTAAATTTTAAGTATTAATGATCCGAGGAATGCAGCTAAATGGAAAGGAGACTTAGAGTCAGAAGACCTGGGTTTGGATCTCACCTCTGTCAATTACTCCCTAATGTGACCTTGGGCAAGTACCTTCCCTTCTCTGGGACTCAGTTTCTTTATCTATAAATTCAAGGAAATAAGAATAGATGAGCCTTTAGCTCTAAAGCTATGATTCTGTGAACACCATAGAACATTTATATATGAGAAGAAGGTTCCCTGTCATTCTCTGAATCTAAGCTTTGGAAATTGCTGTTTTTCTTTTCTCTTACCTTCAAAAAATATACAGCATCTTATGAAATTGTAACCACTTCTTTCAGCTTACATGGCTGTCTGTTCTTCTTTATCTCTGAAAATCAGTCGAATTCATGAAACAGTGATTGCTTGTCTAGCCAACTTCCTCCAAAGAAATGAGCTGCCTGCAGTAATTACACCCTGTTGTTGTAGACCAGACCTGACTTGGGCAAGCTCAAGATTGGAATGAAATGAGAGATGAGTAGACCATCTAATAGTTAACAAAGGGAGGTTTACTTAGTCATTTCATGGAAAGGATGCACATCATTGGTTCAGGTAGACCCCCTCCTCATCTCCATACAGAAGCTCTGATTAGCAGGGTATGCCAGATCCTGTAGTCATGGGACATCTGCCAAGTCTGAGGGGACACTGAGTCCTTATAGGCTCCCTTCTTTTATCTCCTTAGGTGTCTATGATTGAGCCTTAGCCTCCTGAACCAATCAAGCTTTAGGGCCAGATTCCTTGCCTTTTAAGGAAAAAAAAACTAGCTTAGTCTACACTGATAGATATTTCTCCTAGTACATCTGATAGTTGGATCTTGGCTTCTAAGAAAACACAGATGAGGACTTGCTTTAGGCATAATGGTCAAATATAATTGCATCAGAGAGAGTTTTGTCTAAATAAGGATGACCGAGTAATACCAAAATAAATGCCATTTATAAATAGAAATATGCAGAGGTCTGCAATAGGGAGACTAATGAGACTGCATAGTCATTTCCTGAGAGTTATTTCTTTAGAAGGCTGATTTGAGGGGTTCCATTTCACCTACCTTCCTGGAATAAGAGCAAAAGTCCTCTTTGGGATGGCATAGGGTATGTCTGGGAACTAACTCTCTATTCCAAACCAATGGTTCCCAACCTAGAGGTCCCTGGAGGATCATGGAGGGATCAACAGGGCCTGGGAAAATAGTCCTGGCCATATCATTAAAGCCTCAGACAAGAATATGCAAACATTCCTTCTAGAGATGGGGTATAAAAATATCTTGCACAAACATGAGAGGCAGTGTGGTGGAGTAGATAGAAAGCTTGCCTTAAAGGTAGGAAGATCTGAGTTTAAATTCTACCTCTGATTTAACACTATCTGGGTGCCCCTGGAGAAGTTAATTAACTTTCAGTGTCCCCAGGCATGTTTTTCTCTAAGACTACAAGCCATAAAGAGGGTGCTGATCTGCATGGGTAGAGGAAGTCTATGCAAAAAAAAAAACTGTATCTGTTTTTCAAATGTATTTGGAGACTGTTGTGATTAATAAAATGCAAATTAATTTTAAAAGGCTATTGAATTCACAGGTTTTTTTCTTTCTCATTACACATTTTATCAAAGCATACTGGTAAAACATTTCCTATCGTGGAACGGCCTCAATAATTAAGTTGTTATTTTGGCTAGTTGGCTCTCTAGGGCCTATTATTCCCTGTTAAAAAAAAGAAAAAAAAAGGTTGTATGTTTCACAGGTATCACTCTTACAGAATGAGAGAATGTTGGAGCAGCAAAGGACCTTAAAAGCTTTATTATTCATCATTTTACATATGAGGAAACTGAGGTAAGGGCAGCTAGGTGTTGCAGTAGATAGAGCATTGGGCCAGGAGTCGGGAAGATCTAAGTTCTAATCTGGCCTCAGACCCTTACTAGTGTGTGGGGTATGAAAACCCTTACCAATAAATTGGAGACTCAGAGATATTAGCAAAAAGAATAGTTCGTTTATTGGCTTTCTTGAGAAAGGGCTCCCTTAGAGCACCCAAAAGATGGTGCTGACCAAAGAGAATGGAAGTGTGTTCAGCTCAGCAGGTTATATAGATCCTAACAGCAATCCCCACCCACCCACTGGCTCTTCTTCCCATTGGCTGGGCTTCAGAGATCACAGTCTAAGTGTGGAAACTTCTCCCCAGCACCAAGGACAAAAAGGGCGCGAAACAGGGAATGGTTTGCTTCAACAACTAGGGAGGGAAAGTTCAGGGGCTGGGTTGCTTTCAAAGACATGGTCTTTTTTCCTTTTAGGGGCCCAGGTCCCATCACCCCATCAGAAGAGGCTATGGTTTGCTCCTCCATATTAGGCCTCTATTTTGAAGACCCTTTGTTTGTGTTCCATTGATCTTTCCTTAGCTCTCAATAGGTGTCACTTGTCTCTATACCTTCATCTCTATTCTCTATGTCCCATAGGTTCATATCAGGATGAAAGAAATGACCAAAGGCTCTGTTTCGTGTCTTCACCTTCAATATTTCCCTGCTCTTGGCAATACTGTAGGTCTGTCTCTGCAGCTCAGTTCTTTGGCTAGCTTTATACAGTTCTCCCACTCTCCAGAAGGTGGTGCTTATCACCTTACTCAGGGGATCCTCTGTATTCACAGCTCAAAATAAAATTTGAAGGCAAACTATCTCTGTTCTCACACACAAAATGTACCTCAGTGGACTGTGAATTTCTCCCATTGCACTGATGAAATGAATCTTTGTTTTAAACTCCATTCTAGTGTTTGCATATATCTCTACAGATATATATCTATAGACATATTATAAACATATAGATCTATCCATATCTATAGAGATGTCTCTCTAACTGTATATCTAGAGAGATATCAATATAACTCTATACATATATGGAGAGATATCTCTATATCTATAGATGTTATATATCTATATTTTATCTATCTATAGATATATACATATTACCTGTATGTATGTGGAAACACACGCAGAGATATGACAAATCAGTCCCATTTTCCTCTCCTTAAATATTAGTTGTGTGACCCCAGGAAGGTCAGTTAACATCTCAACCTCAGTTTCCTGGTCTATAAGCTGGGGATAATAACAGCTCCTACCTTCCAGGGTTGTGGTGAAGATCAAACGAGATAATTTATGAAAAATGCTCAGGAAGGGGGAAAAAAGAACAGAGTAAAAAGTATACAGCAGAGAACAAAAGAAAACTAAAAAGGAAGCAAAGACAAGATGGACCACTCTCAAGACAATGTGTAGTGCTTATTATATAGGCTTTCTTGAAATGGAAATTTATTGCTATGTATTTTGAATACTCTCTTACATTCTGCTGTGCTCATGACATGCTTTTTTCCTCTTTTCTTATTATGTATTTAAATGTCAATATTTAAGTTTATAATATGTTTCTTTTTCTTTTCTTATTGTGTATTTAAGTTTCAGTAATAAAAAAAAGAAAAATATTCTGCAAACTTTAAAGCATTATGCAAATGCTAGCCCTTACTACTATTTTGGAAGTCCAATGAAACTGAGCTCTATTTTACAATGTGATGTTTTCTCACAGGAGTCTAGTGCAGTGGTACGACTACATGAGAAGGTTCCTGTTGCCTGGAACTAGTTCCATGGATAATAATCTAGCACCTACCGATTGTAATGTATTCATGTAAGAAATTAAACCCAAGAAGGAAAAGCCCTTTAAATTATAACAGAAGACTCAGCAGCAGCTTAGTTAACTAGTTTTGCCAGCCGTTAAATGGCTCTGAAGTTTATCAGGGCTCTTATTGCTTCAAAACTTTAACTATGTGGTAGAGACCCAGCATGTGCATTGGCTGGTGTTGGCACTGTGTTTATTTAAACTGGAGTTTCAAAAAGCTTGTTAGTTCTTCTTTTGGCAGTCCTTTAATGAGTTGGCACTTATTAGATCACCCTTGCCATGTACCTAAATTGAGAATAGACTGAATTGACTCTTGCAAGGGAATTAATTTATTTGTCCAAAGCAGCAGACTAGAGGACGCCCAAAATATTTGGGTCAATTTCCTAGTGCCTAGCCAGGCAGTATCTTTAGTTCATGTTATAAAAAGGCAAGTTATTACAGTGCAGGTTCATTGAGGTATAAGCTCAACACCCACATCGATTTGCGAACTTGCTCTGCTCCCCTTGCTGTCCAAAGCTTTCTAGGGACAAAACAAAGCATGGGCAGATGATAACAGAAAAACCGGCTGGGATGTAAGTACAAAGAATCAGTCAACAAGCAATCTTTTTTTCCTAGAAATCTCTCTGCTATAGAAATTCAAAAGGAACAAAAGTCTAACTGGAACTTCAAAAAAAAAAATAAAGCAGTAAGGACATCCTACCAAATCCACACCACACCCATTCAAAACAACATTAACGAGAGTCATCTATTTTAAAAAATAATTTTATTGGAATTCTTTTTGCTTATATATCACTAACTTACCCCAGTTCTTCTCTCTTTCAGGGAGCTATCCCTAATAATTAAGAATGAAAAAGAGAGAAAAAAAACTTTCACCAAAACTCACAAACACATTGAAAAAGTTTGATATTTTATGCAGTTTTCCATAACCATAGTCTCCAACTTTCTTTGCAGATGTATGGGAGGTGCCTTGTCATATCTTTTCTTTGGGGCCAGGCTTAATAATTATACATTCACTGAATTCAATTTTTTTTGGGGGGAGGGGAGGGACCATCAATAGGCAATCAGTCAATAAACCTTTTTAAAAAGTATCTACTACATGCGAGGCATTGTGCTAAGTGCTGAGGATACAAAAAGAAGCAAAAGATCATCTCTGTCCTCAGGGAGTTTACAATCTATTGGGAGAGACAGCAGACAAACAGATATGTACCATCAAGCTATATGCAGGATAAATAGAAAGTAATTAATAGAGGGAAGGCACTGGAATTAGGAGGGATTGGGAAAGGCTTCCTATAGAAGATGAGATTTTAGTTGGGACTTAAGGGAAGCCAGGGAAGGGGGGAGAGCATTCCAGGTATAGGGGACAGCCAGAGAAAATTCTGGGAACCTAGAGATGGAGTGTCTTATTTGTGAAATAACAAGGAAGCCAGTGTCATTGGACCAAAGAGTATATAGACAGGAATAAGATGTAAGAAGACTGGAAAGGTAAGGAAGGGGTTGGGTTATGAAGGGCTTTGAACACCAAACAGAGGATTTTGTATTTGCATCTGGAGACAATAGGGGACCACTGGAGTTTATTGAGTAGAGGAGTGACATGGTCAGATGTACATTTTTAGGAAAATCACTTTGGTGGCTGAATGAAGGATGGATTGAAGTAGGGATAGACTTGAGGCAGCTAGACTCACCAGCAGGCTATTGTAGTAGTCCAGGAATGAGATAATGAGTACCTATACCAGAATGGTAGTAGTGTCAGAGGAGAGAAGGGGGCATGTTAGAGAAATGTTGAAAAGGTGAACCAAATTGGTTATGGGGGATG